GCAACTGGCACTAGTGTTTAAGTTGGTCCTTGGGAAATCTGACCTCAAGGTGCAAAGTTTCCCTTCTGCCATCTCTAGTTAGGAACAGCAAGTGAACAAACAAAAAAAAAAGAAAAAAAAAAGGAAAAGAATGATTGGAATAAAGTAACTTCTTCTAATTCAATTAAATTGTTTACTTAATAAATTTAAGTGTTTTAATTTAGTTACTATACTTTTTATTTATATGGGGCATTCAATGTTATTATTTTTTACTTTTTATTTATATGGGGCATTCAATCTTAAAATTTAATGCATTTCACTTGTGCCCAACAAACAGTACGACCACTACTCACCCACACGGAAAATTGCAAACTATTTGTGCTTTCTTTTTTTAAAGAGAGCGCACAATTTTTAATCGACGGCTAGGGAGCGGGAGGAGGTTGGGTTGGGTTCAAACCCAGCCCTCTTTTTTTTACAATCCCACTAGTTTCTCAACAGCAGCCTGAAGAGAAAAAGTTAACTAAAGTACTTTTCTTTGTGTGTACTGGAGTTTTCTTCCTTTTGTTTCAATTTGAACTGTTTTATATTATAAAAAAAATATTGAATAAAAAGAGTAACTTTTATGTAAGGAGGTTCACCCTCCTACTTTTATATTGTATGGTCTGTTATTATTTTTTTTTTTTTTGGTATAAATCATTCGGTATCTAAAAATTCATTGGATCACTGATTAATCCGAATTTGAGTCGGGTAAGACTCAACGTGCGACAAAACTCTCCCTCATGAGTTTTAACGGAGCTGCATTCTCAGGACTTAAACTCAAGACCTGTGATTAAGCTGCAATAGTTTCAGCCAACTCATCCACCCACTCATGAGTTTGTATGGTCTGTTATAGCAGAATGAAAAACACCTTTTTTTATTACTCAGAAGTAAATAACTTTGCTCCTAACATACTGAGTAAAAATTCAAGGCATGCTCTTCATCTTATTGGCTATGAAACTTTTAGTTCTTTACTTTATAATTTAAAAATTTTAGTTTTTTATATTTTTAATTTAAATAAAAAAACTCAAAATAAACGTTTAACAATCACATGCTTATTAGGATTCATTACTCTTTACCTTGTTAGTACCATAATGTACAACTCCTTGCCATTTGAACTGTCAATTTGAAAAATAAAAGTGAAAAACCTCTTACTCACTTTAAAAGAAATTATAATTGTCTAAAATTAAAAATAAAAATATTTTTGACCTACCTTAAAGTGAGTTGAAGATTTCTCACTTTTATTGTCTACATTAGCAATCTAAGATAACAAGAAATTGTACATTATGATACTAACATAGCAAAAAATGATGAAACCCTAATAAGCACGTAATGCACGTGACCATTAATCGTCCATTTTGGGCTTCTTTGTTTATAACGAAAAGATGAGGGTTAAGATCTTCAAGTTGTAAGGGGAGAAGTTGAAAGTTTCATATAAGGTGGGGGGCTGGTCATGAATTTTCGCCACAGATTGATGGGCTTCAACTTCAAGAGCCCAAACTTTAAGACGGAATCTTATAAATATCCAACCCTGAATGAATTTCCCCTTCACCTCGGTTCTTCCTCCCTCAGAATTCAGAAGCATCTAGAATTAGGGTTAGGGTTTTACACTTTCCGTCGAAATCAAGATGCTTACCATCGATCCCACCAAGAAACGTAAGCTCGACGAGAACGGCGTCTCGGTGGTGCTACCAGAGCTGGATCCAATCACGGGGCTCACTCCACAGGATGTGCGCAAGCTTATCGAACGCTTCACCACCGACCAACTCCTTGGCATTCTCCAGGACGCAGCTGCCCGCCACTTGGATGTCCTGAACGCCGTTCGTTCAATCGCCGACCAGGATCTCACCCAGCGTAAGCTCTTCATCCGTGGCCTCGGCTGGGATACCACGACAGACGGCCTCCGCACACTTTTCTCAGCCTACGGAGAACTTGAGGAAGCGGTTGTGATTCTCGACAAGACGACTGGCAAGTCTAAGGGATATGGTTTTGTTACGTTTAAACACGTTGATGGTGCTTTGCTTGCCCTGAAAGAGCCCAGCAAAAAGATCGACGGACGTGTAACTGTTACTCAACTCGCGGCAGCGGGAAATACGGGGACGACCACAAACCCAGTAGATATTCATTTGAGGAAAATTTATGTGGGTAGTGTTCCCATTGATATGCCTGCAGATAAATTGCTAAGTCATTTTGCACAGTATGGAGAAATTGAGGAGGGTCCTTTGGGTTTTGATAAGTTGACTGGGAAATCAAAGGGCTTTGCGCTTTTTGTGTATAAGACCATGGGAGGAGCGCAAGAAGCGTTGAGGGAACCGGTAAAGAATATTGATGGAATTCAGATGAATTGTAAGCTGGCAATTGACGGGAAGAAAGGGAAGCCAGGCGGGCCAGGATTGGATGGAGTGCAGGGAGGCGGTCTGGGGAGTGGAGATGGGATGGGGGGCCCGCCTGGTCCTGGGGCTTACGGGGGAGCAGGTGGTCATGGTGGGTTGGGGGGTTATGGTGGGTTTTCGGGTGCATTGCAGGGTCCGCCGCCATTAGGTCCTCACCATTTGAATTCAGCCCCTGTAGGGGCATCTTCTTTAGGTGCCACTACCGGTTCTGGGGGTTATGGATCTGGGTTTGGTCCGCTTGGAGGACCTTATGGAGGGTACGGAGGACCAGGCTCAACAGGGTATGGTGGTTTGACTGGTGCTGGGGGTGGTGGATTGAGTGGTGCAGGGGGTGGGATTGGTGGTGCCGGTGGTGGATTGAATGGTTCCGGTGTTGGGTCCTCTTTGTACAGCAGGATGCCCCCTAGTTCTGTTGGTATGCCATCTGGTGGGTATCCAGAAGGTGCACGCTACAATTCAACCTTTCCGGGTCCGCAACACCAAGGAACAGGGGCATCGCCTTTGCCAAGGGTTGCACCTGGAGGATTGTATCCCAATGCTCCTTACTACTGAGGTAAGTTCTCAATGTCACGTCCTGTATAAGAGAAAGATTCTACGCGGTCCGATTTAGAAAATTCAAAATTCTCTGCTATGGTCTCTGGTGGTTTGCTGCAGTTGTTTAGCAATCTCCCAAGGTGAGTTTCCCTTCCCTTCCCTTCCCTTCCCATCTGGGTTTTGTTTGGTTGCCTAGAAAATTGATGAGAAGGAAACCAGAAATCAAAAGAAAGAAACTTGTTAGGTGTTTTCATGTGGGTTTCTCTTCCTGTTTAAGAATTCAACTTGAATTCTCTTGTTTATATGTGTTACTACGCTCTGTTTGTTCTAGTTTTTGCTTTAATTGCTTTTTTCGTGCCAGGATAAGAATATTTAGATTCAACATTTAAGTTTTTTCCTTCTATGGTTTCAGAAATAGTCAAGAAGGGAAACTATTGTTGTTTCTGCTAACCTTACAGGGGTTTGAGACATTATTGACAATGTTCATAGTCAGTTGTTCATGCCATGGATGACTCTGGAGTTTTCCTCTACATTTTTGCTTCTTTTCATGAAGTATTTTTAGCAATTATAAGTTTTTCAGATCTATATCATATCATAATTTCTTGTCAGCATCAAAAACAATGGAAATTTTCAAGAGTGGTCTGGACAAAAATCCTATTTCCGGGTTCAATTAGTGATATTGTTGATCTAGTAGTTTAGGATTCTTCTTTCTTGTGTTTATACTTCTTCCACACAGAATTAAGAGGTAGCTTTCCCCCTCACTTTGGTTTCTTTAGCTGTCTCCTTCACTTTCTCTCTTCTTTTTCAGTCTGGTTTAATGCATTTGGTCCTTTTTCATATTGCTTAAAAGTTTCCATTATGATTGCATGTTTCAATACACACTTTTACTTCCTGGATTGTTGTTTCGTCTTTAGGATTCTCGACCACCAATTAACAAGGAAATTATATTGGTTTCCTTGTCTTTTTCTTTGGCCAAAAGGTTTCCTTATCCTTATTTTGAAGTTAGAAGATTTAAGGACATTGGAGTAAAAGTCTGATATAATGGTTTACTCACCTTGGCTATTATCTGCCTGAGTTTGTTTGTCTTTTTGAACCCAATCCCACACCAAAAATTTATTATATTTTTGGCCCTTTATCTGGAAGTTCAGAATTAACTTTTAAGAGGCTAATTGAGGCAATATTGCAATTTCAAATGCTGCCTAATAAGTTCAGTTATTACACTTGCATTTCTGTTTCTTGCTTCCTGTCATCATCATGGATGAATTTGAGATTGAGATTTCTACAAGTTGATAATGTTCTTAATAAATGAAAATGCAAAATGCTTGTGGATGATATACAGAGTTGTTGTGTACCACCATCATATTTGCTTTTAAAAATTAGCTTTGTTATTTCTAATATAAACTTTTTAGATGATTTGTGGTTGATCAGGACAATGGTTAAACAACTAACATTCTCAGTCCTAGAAGATAACAAATGTTTGTAAATGTTGATATTTACAGGTCAAAAGTTTCATTTCAGTGGACACCACTGCTGCATAACGATAGCCAGCAATGACTTGTTTATGTTCATTTTTTAAAAAGAAGTCAGCTCCACCAGTCAGAGGAACAACAGAAATTGATCAAGGTATGATATCAAAACGATTTCACAATCAGGAACTGAAAAACGTTATGTTAATTCACTTAATATGATTCCTATAAATTTAGGATTGGCTGTGGGATTTACAAAATGAACAAAAGTATAGGTGACACTGTTGTATCTGGGCAATGGCATTGGCTAACATATGGTATGATAAGATAAGTGGGAGAGATGCCTGACAAGAACTAAACTTTTCTTAATTCCTTGTATTGTTAAATCTTGTGCATCCTTAAATGCTTTGGAGAAGTTCAAGAAAAATAGTATTTATTCAGACACTTTGGTAAACAGATCCTGCCATCCTTTGCAACCTAGCTTCTGTATGTTTTATGTCCACATAGAAAGCTCCTAATGTCAAACTTATCATTACAGAGGTTTCAGGCATTCAGAATACTAGATTGTTTACTTACAATGAACTCAGAGACGCAACTGGAAATTTTCGAACCTCCAATAAAATTGGAGAAGGAGGTTTTGGTGTTGTCTATCAGGTGAGTTCAGATTTTGTTTGTTCATATCTTTTCAAAGAAACACCTCTATATGTTTTAAGCATAGAAATACCCTATCATCTTTGTCCAATATTGATTTCCTTAATGAACAGGGAACTTTAAGAGATGGAACCATGGTTGCTGTAAAGGTACTGTCAGCTGATTCTACACAGGGGGTGCGGGAGTTCTTGACTGAAATAGAAGTGATGGCAGATATAGAGCATGAAAACCTAGTTAAGTTGTATGGCTGTTGTGTGGAAAAAAAGCACAGAATTTTGGTCTATGGTTATGTTGAGAATAACAGCATTGCCCAAACACTTCTTGGTAATTATTTTTTTGTTATTTTTCATTGACTGAATTGAATTATTGAAACTAAATGCCTCTTGTCCTTTTAGGTGGAGGAAACAACAGTATCCAATTCAGTTGGGATACACGAAGTCAAATTTGCATTGGTGTTGCAAAGGGGCTTGCTTTCCTTCATGAGGAAGTTCGGCCACATATTGTTCATAGAGACATCAAACCAAGCAATATCCTACTTGATAAAAATCTCATGCCAAAAATTTCAGATTTTGGTTTGGCAAAGCTTTTTCCAGACAACTTGACTCATATCAGTACATGCGCTGCTGGAACTGTGTGAGTTCTTAAATTCCCACCATATATTTTTAGTTTTGGTATAATCTTGAAGAGTTTAGTATAGACCATACAATGTTCATGTGCTATGCTGCTATGCAGGTTGATTGGTCAGTCTTCACATATGAGGTTCTCTGGCTTCCTTAGGAGGCTTTAAGCATGTTTACTTTATCATATTTTAGCGTGTTAATTTATCTGTCTACTCTTATTTGATTGGTGTAGAGGTTATCTAGCACCGGAGTATGCCATACGAGCTAAATTGACAAGGAAAGCAGATATTTACAGTTTTGGCGTTCTACTATTGGAAATCGTGAGTGGGAGAAGTCACAAAGACCGGAGATTACCTGTTGCAGAGCAATATCTTCTTGAAAGGGTATGCACGTGTACCACATTTTCCTGTTGTTATGCCTTATGAATTGACTCAATATCTCCAACACTGACCCCATGCTTTATCTGTTTTGAACTTTGGCTCATTGGTAGTAGACTTAAAATTTTGACAGACTTTGATTTTCCCATGAAGCTAGCTAAATAGGTGAGGAAGTCTAGTAGCTTATGATGCTCTTAATGATTTTCTTTTCTATGTTAGTAGCCCTGTTTATGCTCATGTAGTGATTGTTATTGCAATCTTTAGTTGTAGATGGCTTTATTATCTATATTCGTCATGAGCATAGTTTAAATCTATCACTAGTGTTGTAGGTTATGTTTTTTATTTTACTTTGGCTATGGCGCACTGGATGGAGATTCAGTTGTAATTTATTTCATTTAATATAATCTCTATTTTCTATAAAAAAAATTTTTTGACAGACCTTGATTATAAGATTTATAACTGCAGGCGTGGGATTTGTATGAGAAGGGAGAGCCAGTACAATTGGTAGATTCGTCCCTGAATGGGGACTACAACATTGAAGAAGCTCTAAGATGCCTGAAGATTGGCCTAATCTGCACACAGGACATGCCAAAGCTCCGACCACCCATGTCTACAGTTCTCAAGATGCTCGTGGGTGATATAGAGGTGAATGACCAGGAAATAACTAGACCTGGCTTTCTTTCAGAGTTGATGTGTCTTAAAGCTGACAAAGGTGTAAAAAAAAATGTCAAGAACTGGTCTTGCACTGCATCTGCAAGCACAAGCAAACTGGGAAGTTCATCTTCATTTCCAGAAAATACAGACACCTCATATAATACAATGACCTTTACATCAATTTATAACCGATAAGGAATATGTTTGCACCAAAATTCAAGATAAGGATGATTTTCTGGAGGTTCTGGTGCCTTCCTATTAAACTTTTGCAATTAGTTTGTCTGCTCCTACTAACCTTTGCAGTGAGCTCATCTACTTGGGATGGGCAACCATCAGCAGGATCCTCCATTTTTTGACTTTTAGGGAAAAGCAAGTGACACTTCTGCCTTCAATCACGTGTGGGCAGAAAGAAGAGATTCAAAGATAACAGTATGATTGTTTGGTTTTTCCATTCTTTGGTTGGGGTTTCAAGAGGGGGTCATTTTTTTATAAACTTGTAAAAATTAAGGGTTGACAAGCATAGAAGTGCGTGTTCAAGTTTTGGGAGTAACAATAATTGACCCTTTTGTTATTGTTTAAGACTTTCTTCCCAAGTTTTTATGATAGAATAATTAAAAGTTAATAGGTTAACTACCAAATACTGTAAAATTATTGTAATCAAATCAAGTATGATTAAAGAAGGTAAATTTTGGCAAGTTTACGCACATTTGATGCAAGTTTAACTTACAATTTATCAATGAAAGAATCAAAATATCAAGAATCATAATCATAAATTAATTAATTCCATTATCTTCACAAATAAGTGTGTAAAATAATAAAACATAAAACATATTAGATGCTTTTTAGCATCAATGGAAAAGGTGTTCTTTTTGGACAGTCACAGCCTGTAAATAAGGTGAATAAATGGGATTGACATGTTGTCTAACTCTGATTGTACAGCCTTCAATGGTTTTTCTCCCTTGAAAATGTTGATTACGGAGAGATTATGATTTTTGCAGGACCAAGGTTTGTATGACATCAATGGCAAATTCAAGCACATTGACATGAGGAGGAATTCTATGTCCGGAAAGCTTTAGCCTTTCTTCAAGAAGATTCAGTGATCCATTATGAACACATCAAATACATTTGAAAGCAAAACTATTCCATCAAAGAGCTCAAGAATTCGAAAACTTGGTTGGTGGATGGATAGAAAAATAGTCTTACCTTGGTTAACCATCATGGACTTAAGCAGTGTCACAATATGAAAATCTGAGGCAGAATCCAATCTCGAAGTCGGTTCATCTATCAGAATAACAGCAGGGTAATGAACTAGATCAACTCCAATGCACAACTCTTCGCCTTTCCCCATTAGAAACCCCACAATTTGATCCTTCCTCAGTGCTTGAACAAGCTAAGTGCTCCAATCGAAGTTCCTTCGTTTTCTCTCTTACCCTGGACATGGCCTCTCTTCTCCCCGGGCAGCCTCAAAAGTGCACTGTACATGAGGGTTTCTTCAACTGTAAGGAATGGAAATAGGGCATCATCCTGTGTGTGTAACATATTCGGCAACTCTCCAAAAACTGTTATTAGCATCTATAGGCCTTCCATTGACAAGCACCTGACCTGACACCTTCAGTGGCAAAATGTTCCTAACAAGAATCTCCAACAATGTAATTTTCCCTCCTTGCAATTGCTATTACCTCCTCTAGCTAGCCTTGCTTAAGAAGTTATCCCATTCAAAATGAACTTGGGAGTTCCTTTGGACTTTATATCAATTTTTATATTAATTTAATATTTATAATTTTTTATTAAAAACTTTATTTATTAACATATATTTAATGTATTGAATTTTATATAATTAATTTAATAGTTAGATCTACTAAATAAATTTAAAAAGTGATATACATGAATTATTTTTAAAAATATTAATTAGAATATGTATTTTTAAAAAAGCACTCTAAAAAAATTAAGATACAACATGTAAAAGACTTTGCATATATATATGATTTAGGTGTTTCACTTTCTAAATATAGGAGGTCTAACATTACTTTCTAATTTAATAACATATTAAATACTAATATTTTAATTTTATTGTTATTTTTGAAGAGATAAAAATCTATTAAGATTTTTTAATTATAAATAACAGTGAAAATGAAATTGATATATATTCAATTCCCTAAATTTTTATCTTAACTTTTGCTTTTAAAGTCAAAAACTCCATTAAGATTATTTTGAAACTAAAAAATTGTCTGCTTTAATCAACTAAAAATTTTAAGCTTTCAAAAATAGAAAGGAAAAGACTGGAAAAAGAAAAAAAAAAAAAGAAAAAAAGAAAGCAAGCAAAAGGAAAGAAAAAATCATTACAAAAAATATTATAATTCATTTTAATGAAAAAAATACAAAATTTCTAAACCGGTAGATTCAAATAGATTAACGGCTGAGATTAGCTGTGCAACTAAATGAATTTACAGTTATACCCATTTCATCTGCGCTAAAACCCCTCCCGACTATAAGACCGACCCTAAAACCCTAAAATTCAATATCTCCTATTTCTGCAGTCTCATCCCCTAGTATCGACGCGATAATGGCGAACAACACAGTTTCTCGCTTTCTCCTCTCCAAACCCAAAACCCTAGCCTATCTCGTATCATCTACTCGATCTTTCTCCACCTCGTCTTCCTCCTCTGTTTCCTCTCTCTGCAGAACCCCTTCCCTCTCTTCCCCCTCCTTGTCACTGCTCTATCGCCTCCGTCCTCTCGCCGCTGCGTCTTTCGCGCAGAGATTAGGTGGTCCGGCGGTGCGCTCGCTTTCTACCCGTGCTACATCGTCCTCGCTGAACGACCCTAACCCTAATTGGTCCAACAGGCCTCCGAAGGAAACCATCTTGCTCGATGGGTGTGATTTCGAACACTGGCTCGTGGTCATGGAAAAGCCGGAAGGAGATCCCACCAGAGATGAGATCATTGATGGCTACATCAAAACCCTAGCTCAGGTTGTGGGCAGGTAATTATAGGAATATATTTGTGGGTATTGGAAAATTTATTTTCAAAATTATGAATTTTTTTGTTTTGTAGGATATTTGTGATTATCTGAACGACTGGTATTGATAGTTTTTCTAGCAGCTTGTAATTTGCCTATATTCATACTGAAATTCTGCCTACAATAACTATTTCGAAGATTGAGGTTTCTTGGTATATTATTGTCATCTATTAGTTGCTAAGAGTTTTTTCTTTAGAAAAAAAGATTTGTGTTTGAGCTTGCCATTTTGATTATTTAATCATGTTTTATTTGGTGGTAGGGCAAGTTGCAATTTTGAGATGTTGTATGGGTAGTTGTGCTTGTGTTCTAAGGATTTCATTTTCTTAGTCTCATTTTATGTTATTTACTATTTAATTAGGAATGAAATGAAATACTTATCTTAATTCACTCTTGTTTTATTAGTTGGTGTACTATTTTGAGCTGCTGTATGGGCATTTATGCTCGGGTTGGTCAAACCAATTTGTCTATTTAGGGGACGTAATAGATTCTTTTGGCATGTTGAGACTGTATTATCATTGATATAAGGTATTTTAAGATGCATATTTCAAATAAAAATTATTGAGTTCACTTTAGGTTTGTTTTATATATAATATAACAATTTTCTACTTCTACTAACAGTGGTGGTTAACTTTTGTCTTTTAGTTTTTTGACATCCAGTAAGTGGTGTCTACCGTGCCATGTTATACGATCTCTAGTATTTTCATTGATTACTGTAGATTAACTCTTAGTTTGTTTTCTTCTGCATCTTCCACTTACAGTGAGGAAGAAGCTAGGATGAAAATTTATTCAGTCTCAACAAGGTGCTATTATGCATTTGGGGCACTTGTGTCTGAAGAGCTCTCGTATAAGATCAAAGGTATGTATTCTCTAATGTGTTGCATTCATGGTTTTCATTGCTAGTATTGTTTAAATGGGAGGATTTTCTGGATCTCTCTATGATAATATTTCTTCTTTCTCCCAGAATTGCCCAGAGTTAGGTGGGTGCTCCCTGATTCATACTTGGATGTGAAGAATAAGGATTATGGAGGTACAAACATGCTTCTTGTTTACATCTTTATATTGCAGAAAGTGCGGTTCTGTTTGTTTTGATTAATTTGTGATGATTTTTCCTCCAATTTACAGGTGAGCCTTTCATTGATGGTAAGGCGGTTCCATATGACCCAAAGTACCATGAAGAATGGATAAGGAACAATGCACGGGCAAATGAGAGAAACAGGCGTAATGACCGACCTCGTAACAGTGATAGATCAAGAAACTTTGACAGAAGAAGGGAGAACATGCAGAACCGAGACTTCCAGAACAGAGGGATGCCTCCTGCACCTAATCAAAGCATGCAAACTGCTCCAAATACAGGTGGAATGCCTCCCAGCATGAACCCCAACAACATGGGGGGAATGCAGCCAGACAACTATGCGCCAAGGCCACCCATGCCACCAAATCAAGGATGGTCTGGTAACATGCAGAACTTCCAAAACAATCCTAACCAAGGAGCCGTACCCAATTACCAGAACAACTATTCTCCAAACAGCTATAACCAAGGAGGCATTCCTAACCAAGGAGCGGCACCTAATTACCAGAACAACTATTCCTCAAACGTTCCTAACCAAGGAGGTATCCCTAACCAAGGAGCTGCACCCAATTACCA